GGGATCGAACATGCAACCTAGGTATGTGTCCTTGACCAAGAATTGAGCCAATGACCCTTCTGTGCATGGGGCTGACACTCTAACAGCTGAGGCACACCGGCCAGCGCAAGGTTGCCTCTTTTACACTGTGTGATTTCAATATGCTACTTAGCCCCTAGCGTTTCCTCCTCACAGGCAAAATGGGGCTAATACTACCTTCTTCTCAGGGTCTAAGTTAAATGAGACAATGGTAGAATGCAGAGCTCAGTGCCTGGCCCACAGTAAGCACACAGTAAGTGTCAGCCATCCATATGATTATTAAGAGATTTCTCTACAACTCAACTCTGATCATCTCGCAGTCTCCATTTGCTTGCTGTTGCCTCCACCCATCTTCAGGGCACATAATGCAAACCCCAACAGAAAACTCGGTAAAGTGATCCTGCCCTCATTTTCATGTCAGGGCTTCAGTGACTCCAACTGAATAACAAACATTCAGAACGTCCCAGTGTCGCCGTGCTAGGCGGAACTCACGGGGCAGAGGGTAGTCTGAGTCAAAGGCAGCCCTGCCTTAAAGAACTGCATGATCTTTGGGGAACAAAGCTGCAAAGGTTCCGCTGTAAACCAGTTGGCAGTGACAGGACTCCCCTAAACAGCCACAGAAGCACATCCTTGGTATTTTTCAACGTCTCTGGACTAACCGTCCAGGGATATTTAAGAAACAGATGGCTGCCTGGAAACTGCATTGGCAGCAAACAGTAGCTCTCACGTGGGCCGGTCTTTAAAGGCGGTCACTCTGGGTTGTGCACACATAATAAAAGAATGAAAGAAAAAGAGTGTAGGGAAAAAAAGAGGCGACTGAAGTGTCTAAGTGAGCTGCCAGGCTGCAGACGGTGGGGAAAGATGAGTGAGATTATCCACTTGTCTCTAGGACATGAAGCAGTACTGGCTGCAGGTGAATGAGCAGGGCAAGCCCGGCTCGGAAATAATGGAAAGGCTGCTTTCCCCAAGATGGAAACAGCTTTATTTTTTCTTATTATAAAAGTAATACACTTTCAATGCTAAGAAAAATATTAGGATGTACAAAAGTGTAAGGAAAAACCACACAGCCTCCCATCCAGAGATCATTAACATTTGACGTTTCTTCTTCCAGACTTTTCCAAGCACATAATTATATTAACTGCAACTTTTCAAAACTGGGATAGCACCACACACGCTGTTTGGTACTTTTTTTCAACACGTCTCCTCTGTGCCTAGACCGGGTTGAGAGCAGCACACGGGGCTGCCTGGGTGGAAGCGCAAAGCCTATGCCCCCACAGCCTGACTGGTGTGGGTCGTGGGTCTGCGTACCAAGCATTCCTGAGGCCTCTGCGCTGAACACCTACTGCAGGCTCTGCTGCCCCAGCTTCAAGGCCTTCAGGGAGTCTCCAGGGGGAGATTGGAGAAGAGCCCCTCGGCTCACAAGGATCCTGTACAACACACGGTTCTGCCCGTGCCCGGGACTCGGAATTCCTTTCAGTTGGTCATTAAGGGTCCATAGCATAGCGTGTGAATCCTGAACCTGTTCAAGTCCAGCACGCCCTAAGCTGCAGTGGGCAGCACGCTCTCGGGCAGAGGGGAGAGGACGCGCAGTCCAGGGCACTACAGAGTGGGCCCGAGTCCAAGCTGGAGCCTGGCCCAGATGGAATGAGTGACTTCTATAATTTGAACTGGACAGCATGCGCAGCAGCAGCCAACCTCTAAAACCCTGCAACAAACTAGAAGTGGACCTGTGGAGGACTGATGCAAACTTCAAGTAAAAGATGCACTGAAAAGCTGAGTTTATTTTGTGTGATCCTTATTAGTAAATTGTTAGAACTCTGTAGTTTCCAGAATTGTATACTAGAAGTCACTGTGTGTACACAATGCTCTGTAAACATATGTGCATCAAGAGGCCACGTGGAAAACAAAAGGAAAATGTCATCCCTGAGGCTCTAACCTAGGGAGGCCATGCCAATGGGCAGCCAGGGGCCTGCTCCGAGAGTTCCAGATGAGACTCAACCAACAGAGAACAGTGGCTCAGACAGAGAATGGCAGAACCAGAGCCCTGTGTCATCACCTGGAGATGAACTCTTTCACTCCTAGTCATGCTTTGGTCTTTACTGCTAGCAAACTCTATTTCATAAATGCTACAATTCAAATTGCCCACAAACAGAAGGCGTGAAGAAGGTAGGTTAGTCTTGAAGCCGTTTAGGTCAGATAACAACCACTGCTCAGCAACCCCCTTCAATTAAGGCTAAAGCTTAATATTCCCCTGGGATCCTGCATCTGTCAGACTTATCCAGTGTCTGTTTACACCAAGCACTGGTTAACGTGCAGGTACACACATGCAGGTACACACAGAAGATACAGTCCTTGCCCTCAAGTCTATAGAGCAAACAGGTAGGACAGTCAACATTTACAACAGTGAGACAGATGTCTGACATACAGCGATGCTCAATGGTCACTGAGCGGCTGAGTCAATACCATAACAGAAGTTGGCACGAAACACGAGAGGACACATCGCTTCACCGCAGCACAGGGGACCCTGACAGTTCACTATTTTGTATACTTGTACAAAGAAACCATCCCTTAAAGGATAAACAACTAGTGAATGTCACATTAGACAGGAACTACCAAGGCTGACAGCACAAAATCAGGGAGTGGGGAGCAACAGTCAGGAGAAAGGAGAAATATTATCACTCATTTTATATAAAATAATATTTTAATTATTGTCCTTAGAAACTATAAAGACTATACATGATTTGGAAATGAGACTGTACCAAACACTGGCCAAAGAAGAACGGTCCGCTCTACGCCTTCTCTTTTGTCTGGTCACTCAGAAATATAATGTTATCTGTAAAGAAGCCAGAGTACAAGTATTATTTTCAGAACTCTTTACCCATCCCATTTAATCATTCCCCTCTAATACATACATACTTCAGTGCTGTTAACTAAGAGGACTTCATAGAAATTCTCAAAATATGAAATAACTCTTGTTATGTTCACAAGAGATACATACAATCAGCATGATGGAGTTCAAAGCTGAGCTTGGGCTGTCTGTCAACAACTCGGCCTTGTTAGAAGAAGTGGGATTTTTCTTGTCTTCTCAGCAATGACTTTCTACCAAACAACTAGTCACAAACCTCGAAGCTTTCAATGCTCAGACAGATGCCATTAACCAGGCAGCACATCCTCACGCAGGAAAGAACCCAGCAGAAGACTCCTCATGCCAGAGGTGTGGGGGAAAGTCAGGGCTCAACAGATGGCCTTGTCAGCAAGGACAGATTTATGTTTTTAAGTAACTCAGAACGCTCACATAGAAGACATTTTATTTTTTAATTTTAAAACAGAATGAGTTTTATAGACTCATTCTTTGGAAAATTTTTACTAATCAATATTACAGAGAGAGCATTTTTATCTAAGAATAGACATTGCTCTTAAAATGCTGTCCCAGACAGAGTTCAATTAGGATGAGCAAAGGAAAATAATTAAATAGCACTTCCTGTATAACATTAGAAGATCTAGATTCTTTTAACTCGGGAATTATTCAAAAATGGTTATTATATAATGACTATTTGTTCATGACTATCTATGTTCCAAAAATGGAGTATTTTGGTGCAGAATGGCCATTTCAGAAAATTGTTAGAATTGCATCAGTGTGTAAAGGCAAGAGTGCCATCTGCTGGCGATTATTTTTAAGTTACAGACGCGATCCCAGGGAAGAAAAAATAAGGCCTATAAAATAGATCGACCAAGTTAAAGGCTACTCCCTTCAACTCAAATGTCACTGAAGAGCTATTCATTTTTACTAGGAGCTATAAACCTATGTGAATACCAGTGACAAGAAAACCACAAAAAGGCAGATAATTGGAAATGCATCTATTTGGCTCAGTTCGTAGCAATTCACAAATCAAACTTAGCCCACACATTTGGTTTACAGTGAAATATGAAAGTGTTAATGCTTCATAAATAAATAGAGATTTAGAAATGTCAATTATTATTTTATTAGAAAGCATGTTTTCCCACTGCTGAACTCACAGGTGTAGATCTATACCATACAGAGATCTAGAAAAAATTCTGAACAGGTAGATATCTCTGTAGATATGACCAAAGGAAGAACAGGGCATGTAGGAAATGATTTATTGTTGAGACACTCAAGAATTATGAAAGCAAAATGGTCAGGAAGAACCTCATCCAAGGTCTGATAATGAAGGTGGAAAGAAGATACCTATGCTGGTTTTCAAGGACAATGTACTTTCAAAGAAACCGGTAAGAAAATATATACTGTAATTATTATTTACAACAAATTGTAATTTATCAATGTGGTATAGTGGTTAAGACATGGACTCTGGAGCAAGGGAAAGAGAAACATTAAAAAGAAAAAATCTGTTGATTAAAAGAGACTTAAGTTCTCAGACGTCCAGCCTTCTGCATTTTAAGAAAATAAATTTCTGTTGTTTCAAAAAAAAAATGAGAGTGACTTAAGACACATGTAAACAATGTAAGATAATGTTTGGACTTGTATTTTGGAGCAATCAAGGAACCCTGAAAACTGTGATAACTTGTGAAAAAATTTGAATAATAATTTCTTAACAGCACTATAGTTACATTTTAAAACAAAGTTCATATCTTTCAGAAATACCTACTGAAATATTTATGGATGAAATAATATAATGTCTGAAATTCATGTCAAAATAACCCAGGTGGAGGGAAAGTGGCTGGGGGCATAGATGAAGTACTATCAGCCACCAGTTGATAATTATTGAAGCTAAATGATGGAATTTTTAAAAAATTTTCTCTCCACTTTTGTATGTGTGACATTTTCCATAATGAAAACTTAACTTTTAAATGCTAATTTTGGCATGTCTCTGAACTTCCTAAACATTGAGACATTACTACAATAAAATGTCTATAATTCCCATCTACTTATTTATAAAAACAAGGTTTCTCAAACAAACAAACAAAAGAACACAGTTAGTTCTTAACGGTCTTATTTTAGCACTTTAACTATCAATCTCATTATATGATGCATTTCCAATATAATTTTAGTTTTTATATTTATATATTAAAGTTGTTTTGGTCAATTATGTACTAAAAACAACTAAAATATGATCCAATGAAGAAGAAATTCTGTGACACTGAGCACCTTACTGTCACAGAATTTTTAAAAATATTTTTAAATTTCTATTTATGCATTTTTATTACAAATATGGCAAGACAAATAATAAAAGATCCTTAACTATGCAACTTATTAAGACACACTTCAGAGGAGAAAATGGAATGGAAACACAAGTTCAGAGAAAAGGAATACAGTCATGCGCCACTTAACAACAGGGATGGGTTCTGATCGTTGTGTGAACATCACAGGGTGCACTTACACAAACCTGGACGGTGTAGCCTACTACACACCTAGGCTGTATGGTAGAGCCTAGTGCTCCTGGGCTACAAGCCTATACATCCTGCTACTGTACAAACAACACGAGATTAAGTCAAGCTCTAGAAAAAATGACACAATCAAGAGCTGCCGGGTGTGACACACATTCTGTTTTATAGTAAAGTTTTTCTTTAATAAGTAGAAAGAGTACACTCTAAAATAATGATAAAAAGTAAATGCACAAACCAGTGCCACAGTCATTTATTATCATTCTCAAGTATTACGTATTGTACGTAGGTCTATGTGCTGTACTTTTATATGCCTGGCAGCGCAGGTTTGTTGACACCAGCCTCAGCACACACACACACACACGTGAGTTGTGCATTGTGCCATGATGTTACAATGGCTACGACTTCACTAAGTGAAAGAAGATTTTCAGCTCCATTACAATATCATGGTACTACTACTACCTTATATGTGGTCCTTTGTTGACCCAAACATCGTTATATGGTACATGACTGTATTATAAAATTTCCAAATGCTGAAGATTCAGATTTTTTTTTTAAATGATGATTGGTATCAATCTGCTATATTTAGATCCATTAATGCATTTAAGAGTAACAATTTTACATTGAAAAAAATGTTAATGTCAACTTAAAGATGTCCAAAAGGGTAGTTTGCAAAATTCTTGTAGAATTTTCAAAAAAGGTTGAAAAATGCTCTAGGGGATTCTTAACCTTCTTTAAACTCTGTGCGTCCATCTTTTCTAAGTTATTTTGTATTTTGTTTAACGAGAACAATAGGAATTTAAAACAAAAGCATCATGTTAAGTACCAAAGAGGTTCTGAATAAATCTGCACAAATGTCCAATGCCTCTCGAATAGTGGAACTCTATCCTGCCACAGGCTTCTCCCTGTTTAGGCCATGGCCCCACAATAAAAACTGGCAGAGACAGCCCAATTTATACTCTATTCAACATTACTTGTGAACTAAGAGTGTCTGAGTATTGAGATAATTTTCTAAAGGAATAGATATGTGTAAAAGCTCTTAGCAAGGCCAGAAAGCACACTCAGCATCCTTCTAGTGAGCTGCCTTATACAATCTCATCAGTTATCAGCACTTACAACCCCAGTTTAAGTTACTTAGAACACAACCAAGCCTTTAAAGAAGGGGGGAAAGAACAGCTGTTACCACAAGCTTCTTACCAGCTATGATTGTTGTTGCTTGTCGCCTCACATTATTTTTGTCCATGTATTCACCATAGTCTACTTTCCCTTCCACATAAATTCGAGACCTGAAATACGTAAAATTTCCCTTTCAGTCTGGAGATTCTAATATGCTTTACAAGAGAGTCAAACTGGGTGCAGTAATGAGTGTACACTAAGGATGGAATGTATAATCACACATAACCTCATTTTGTTACCACTTCTCCAAGCTTAGAATGAAGAGGACTGAAACAGAGCGTACGCACAGACAGACTCATCTCAGTAAAAAGGACAATGTTTCACCTTTGAGCTGACTGTGGTCCATAAGGAAGTTCAAAAAAAAATTGTTCAAAATCTTAAGGTAAAATTTTTAAAAAAGGCAACCTGAAGACCATGGAAATGGAAGGGCAATCTAGAGACAGCCGTTAAGTATTTAGGAGTGACTTCTAATGTGTCGTTTCCCTGACCTTTGATTTTGGACTCGCTAACAGATCTGGTTCTCACTTTCAATTCCTCAAGTTATTCTCAAGAGACTTAGATATTAAAATTCAAAAGAGGTTTTCAGCTTAGCAGTTCACTCAGAGTTAATAACTAAGACTAGTTCTGCATTATCTAGGAGACTAAGCTAGAGGATAGTCATGACACACAAGGTGAAGTTCCATATAGACATTTTCCTTGAAATTTCCTACATGTGTTTGTGTGTATACGCACATATTCATATATACGTATATAAAGGACACAGAGGTACATACGAAGAATAGGTATGCATTCCTACATGTGTTTGCGTGTGTATAGGCACATATTCATACTCACATATATAAAGGACACAAAAGTACATAAGAAGAGAAGGTATGCAGTTACTGAAAGGAAATTGAATTGTTGTCGCTGCTGAAAATATTTTTACGAAATATATTAACTGTGAATACAGCTGCTGTTACACACACCCTTTGTCCTGTGGGTTTGGACAAAGCACTTTCTATATATAATCGACCCAAGCATTTCAAAGGGGAACTATGAAGCTTATATAAAACTGTCAAATATAAAATACCTGGTGTGAATATGACCATAAACCTCACTGTGCCAGGCTTCATACATTCCAGATCCTCTGCTAAGGCAATCATGTATGCCTTAAGTCTGTGCTGCACCTGCTCACAGGGCACTTGGTACACTTTTGCCTTCCCTCTGGCCTCATCTGCTTCTATTTATGTACACGTCCCATTTTCCCTAAACTTTAAGTTTTTAGAAGGCTAAACCAGATTTTATACACCTTTTCACACATAGCTACAAATGCATATAGAATTAAGCACTGATTAAATAAATATCTGAGTTAATATAAATCAGTAGTACTCAGGAACAAAGGAGCTATACATTCCATGAGAACACTTATCAGTTTTTAAACCATTCACACTGTAAGATGCTTCTTGCCTCCACTTACCCCTTTTTCACATACTGATATGCCACGTCTCTGAGGCCTGGTCGGAATACTGAAATTCTGTGCCATGTTGTCTTTTGACTGACATCACCTAAATCACAAGAACACGAAATAGGATCACAAATGCCAGCAGACAAAATAGATGACAAAAGTAAAGCCAATGTCACAGTGTCTAGGAGAACAGAACAAAGTCAGAGAAGAACAATCCTTTCTAAAAGTAGCTCATCTCTAGTCAGGTAACAGAAAGTAAACAATGTCTATTTATTGCTGATAAAACTGTCACCCTGTCTTTTATACTCACCCATTTGGTATGTCTCATTGTCTCCTGATTTCCACATCTCATTTGTTGCTAGAGAAAATATTGTGACTGGGTTTTTCCCTTCCACCTGTCTCATGACAGGGTCTTGACCCACTCGCCCAAGTAACTGCACACGATTCAGAGCTGAAATGCAATGTAGAGATAAAATGAGATTGAGAGAAATATCCTGAAGAGGAAAATCAGTTGAGGGGGCAAATAATGAGAGGCTGGGAGGAAAAAAGGGTTGGCAAGAAAGGAGAAAATATTCTTAGAGAGAGTAGCCCACAAACTAAATATTAAGCTCTTAAAATTTTTCTTTAAAATACCTCTTACAAAAACTGTATCATTAAAATAACAAATCTGAGATCTGAAAATCTTTATAAATGTAAGGGAATATTTCTGTGAAACAACAGGTTTCACAAACTCAGTCCCTTGGCCAAATAGCTCATAACCCTGGGTAACTCAGATAACCGACTACGACTCAAGGAAATTCTGTGGCAGAGGGAGTGCGATCTGACTGGTAAAGGAGAAGGGCCCATTTATACTAGGCCCTACAGCCTGATAGGTCAAGGCCAAAACCTGAGAGGCAAATGTGAGCCAAAGGCACCATGACTAATAGATTATGACCCACCCAGTGCACCTGTGAGAGAATATTAGCACATTGCTACAAATATCGTACTTTAAACTTGGAAATTAGCTACTACTTACATCTTTCAAGAACCAAGCTGCTTACTACTTCAGATTCATGTCTTACAAATTTATGAAGCACCTAGAGTGGAACAAATGAATAAAATGGCTGTGATGTTTTAGAGTTTTCAGGGAAAGGCAAACACAAACAGAAGACTTACTCACATTCAGTTACCATCTAGTCAGCTGCTCCTGCAGCATACATCCACGGAAAACAAGAGACACACTTCCCGAGTTCTCTTGTCACACGGTGCCAGAAGGACCACGCAACACTTAAGAGCAACCTACTACAGAAGCGCAAAGGTACGAAGGAGGCACCAGAGAGCATGCTGAAGAAAGTTAACTTACATTCCTCTCCTGTGTCTTTTGTGGTAACCCTCCTGATTATGCTGCTTCTGTGGCTGCACAGAAAAGGTAAAACCCAATATACGCTGGACAAACTCATGCTTTCAATAGGCCAAAGGAAAAGTCTAAGATCAACAAATTTGGTTCTTTGATAAAGTATAAAGATATGATTGTCTAAATCAGTTTGGCAGAGAAAGGTAGTTGCTGCCACATAACAGCAGCACTCAATGACAATAACAGCTATCACTACTCAATACCAGCTAAGTGCTTTAGCTCTTATCAGTTAATCCTTAGAATAAATCTATAAACTATGCAAAATTATCCCCACTTTATTTTATTTTTTAAATATATCTTTATTGATTTCAGAGAGAGGAAAGGATATGGAGAGAGAGAGATAGAAACATCAATGATGAGTCATTGATCGAGCCCACAACCTGGGCATGTGCCCTGACTGGGAATCGAACCCTGATCGCCTGGATCCCAGGTCAACGCTCACCCGCTGAGCCATGCCCAGCTGGGCCATTATCCCCACTTTAGAGATGAAAAAAATGAAGTTCAGAGAAATTAAGTAACTTGCCCAAAATCCTACAGTGGCAAGTCATGCCTAGAACCCAGAACCCTCTGGCACCAGGGCTGCTGCTTTTCCCAATGCCCTCTGCTCCCTCCTTAAAGACACGCTGTTCAAGAGCTCCTGCTAAGACACGAGTACACATCACTGGGCACAGCGCTGGGCTCAGGGAAACTCCCTGTGCCAGGTGGCAGCACTGTTAACATAAAAAGCAGATGTCCACCAATCATACAAACACCCATTTCTGGGGTACTGTTGGCTATCAAATCCTATCACTATGTTTTGGGGCTGAGAGTGGGTAAGAAAATAAAGACATGAGTCAGAACATACTAAAGAATCAAACTGCTAAATAGTATCTGTATTATGATTCTAGAAATGTACTCATTTGAGAACTCAGATGATCCAAACTAGCTCTTAAGTCTTATACAATATTAATATGTTTCATTTGGGTTTACAAAAATCAAGGCCTTAAGGAGAAGCAGAAATAGGAAAAGAATTTTTTAACTGGGATAATGTTTTTAAATTAAACTTTTAACTCTGGTTTTCTAGATCTGGTTTCAAAGATCTCTTAATACTGAAATATTGAGTATTAAGCCAGTAGTAACTTTTTCAAGTTTCACACTTCAACACACACACACACACACGCTAAAAGTATGCATGGGTTATAATGGGGTTCCAAGAATGTAGGGTCAATTCTCCAGTAGAAGGAGGGAGATAAGAACAGTTTTCATGGAGGAATTGATTCTTCATTAGCCTGAACAGCATGGGGAGTAAGAAGCGTCATAAAGGAAAATCTGCAGGACTTGATGCCCAAATGTGCTAGGTAGGGAAAAGGGGTAGCCCAGGCTGGCTCAGGGCTGGCAAAAATGCCTGGAGCAATTTCAGACTGGGTGGAATGAGAAGGAATTTTGAATATAGCAAATAGTGATGCCCAGACTGCAGCAGCTCTCCTCAGTATGCAGAGATGGGTTGGGGGGCAGTTGACAACATAGAAGGCAGACGGTCAGAAAAGAAACCACACTTACAGAAAAATGCTGGGGCAACGAGTCTCATAGTCTTTAGACCAATGAAGACTTTAAATGCTCCTGAACTAATCTAAATGCAAGTAACATGTTTTAATAAATAATGACTCCCATTATATATATATATATATA